ACACATCTACATATACATACATATACAATATATATATATATATATATATATGTATATATATATATATATTTATATATATATATACATATACATATATAGATATACATATATATAGATATACATAAATATATATCTATATATAGATATACACATATACATATACATATACATATACATATACATATACATATACATATATATATATATATATATATATATAATATATATTGGATGCGGTACATTATTAAGTCGAGGTAGAATCTCGTTCTCGCATACTGTGGAGAAAAACACTCGATCTATATACAAATCTACTCGTGTTTGTAACACAAATATATAGTGGAGATGGATGTTCACACATATGCCCTCGCACACGCATTGCGATTGATATAAGTCCAAACCAGTCACGCAGCTTGAGACTTTCATTGGTAAATTTGTCGGTCTGAAACATTTCACAAAAACTATGCTGTCTGCAATTGTCTTCGCGTTTCGGTTGGAATCCCCGTTCGTCGGTGCATTCATACACAAACAAACAAATAAACAAACGTAGTTAGTGTTGTTTGTCATCTCTGCATGTTCTCACAAATTTATTCAGTATTATCATTCATCTCTTTCTTATTCACACGTATATATTGTTTCTATTTATCTGTGACTGTTCACGCTAGTACCGCTAATCCCACTCCTCACAGTTTGACAAGGACAATAGTGGGAAACTGGACAATACTGAGCTGGATGCTGCCTTGGCTATGGTGACTACCAAGATCCCCGGGTGCCCCACCCTGCCCGCCTCTGTGTCTAAGAGCATCATGGCTAAAATCGACAGTAAGATCATGTTTCTTAGATAGTAGTATCCTGGACCGCAAGGGGGGTTTTTTTATAAAGATATTGGTCCGCTCGACAGTAGGTACCTGTTCTCAGATGTGATCTGTAATCGGGTATATTTGTCTCTAGTTCGGGGTTTTATGGATGCAGGCCTTAAGCTTTAAATTCTCGGCTGGAGTATTGTGTGGATCCCCTACAGACATTATGAAGAATAACGACTTGTCTAGACATACTTGTGGTGACTAAGTTTGTTATGATATGATAAAACAACGCAACAGTGTGATCTCTACCACAGTGTCAAATGGATTCACCTACCCACAGATACGCCTATAATCAAGCATCGTCTTTCCTTTCGGCGTCCTGTTATTCTGTTTTAATAAAATACAAAATACTTATCTCTTTGTTTTCTGTATCCGTCACAGTCAACAAGGATGGCAGCTGCACCAAGGAAGAATTCCACGAGTTCACAAAGCAATATCTGCATCAGGCAAAGAAGCAAGAGTCTGTTGAGGAACAAAAAGCGTAAATAAATGGTATTGCATTAGGCGAAGCTTCCTGTACGTGATTTGCATTGCCGCTTTCCCCTGCTACTACTAGAAATTGCAGCTCGAGACTGTCATGAACAGATGACCTCGTATATATATATATATATATATATATATATATATATATATATATATATATATATATATATATATATACATAATATACTATATATATATATATATATATA